GGGGCGCAACGCGCATGAGAGATTTTAGCTCCACTACTCAGCAAATTGCATGTTTTAGCTCCAAAACGCAGCAAATAGCAAGGGTAAGTGCCCCAGACTGAAAACAGAAAAAACAACAAAAACTGCACCCAAGAAATGTGTTTCATTTATTTGTTTATTGTCAGAAACTAGCAATTGCACAGAGAAGGATTGCAATTACACAAAGAAGGAATGCAACTGCATAGAGACAAACCATCTATCAAACTCAGAAGAAACAAACCCAAGTCTCTGAAATCTATCTTTTTTGGGGGCCCAAAGAAATTTATGTGTTTAGTTTTGATCTCAACAAATTTGTTTCAACTCTATGTTTTTGCTCTGACATCTTCATTTTCTCTTAGTTGACTCAACAAATTTGTTTCAACTCTATGTTTTTGCTCTGACATCTTCAAGTTGACAATAGTTGTGATAACGTGTGTGGGGAGTTCTTGATATTTTTCCTCATGAATATTTCAAAAGATTTGGATGGAATCCTCAAAAACCTTTGGTGGGTTCTTGAAGATTTATTAAAAAGAAAACTTATGGAAACACTCTTGCACTCTTCATATCCTCTTGATCCAGTTTTGTGGCTGCAAGCATTCAAGAAGTTGCCATTAAATTTGGAAGAAATTTAGATGAACTATATCAAAATTGGTTATGCACTTTTGATGCACTTTTGCACTTTTGATGCACTTTTCAAAAGTGCATCAAAATGCATCTTATTAAAAGTGCATCAAAGGTGCATCAAAAGTGCATCAAAAAAGTGCATCAAAAGTGCATAACCAATTTTGATATAGTTCATCTAAATTTCTTCCAAATTTAATGGCAACTTCTTGAATGCTTGCAGCCACAAAACTGGATCAAGAGGATATGAAGAGTGCAAGAGTGTTTCCATAAGTTTTCTTTTTAATAAATCTTCAAGAACCCACCAAAGGTTTTTGAGGATTCCATCCAAATCTTTTGAAATATTCATGAGGAAAAATATCAAGAACTCCCCACACACGTTATCACAACTATTGTCAACTAAGAGAAAATGAAGATGTCAGAGCAAAAACATAGAGTTGAAACAAATTTGTTGAGATCAAAACTAAACACATAAATTTCTTTGGGCCCCCAAAAAAGATAGATTTCAGAGACTTGGGTTTGTTTCTTCTGAGTTTGATAGATGGTTTGTCTCTATGCAGTTGCATTCCTTCTTTGTGTAATTGCAATCCTTCTCTGTGTCATTGCTAGTTTCTGACAATAAACAAATAAATGAAACACATTTCTTGGGTGCAGTTTTTGTTGTTTTTTCTGTTTTCAGTCTGGGGCACTTACCCTTGCTATTTGCTGCGTTTTGGAGCTAAAACATGCAATTTGCTGAGTAGTGGAGCTAAAATCTCTCATGCGCGTTGCGCCCCATTGTTTCTATGGTTTTCATTGATTTTGCCATGGTGTTCATGTTTTTTTGATGCTTTTGGCTGAACTTTACACGGTCTTCATTCATTTTTCCACAGTGTTCATGGAATTTTTGACTTGTTTTGTTGATTTTTAGATGCTGTTAGCTGATTTTTACATGTTTTAAGTGATTTTTCCATTGATTTTATTGATGTTGCCATGGTGTTCATTAAGTTTTGCATGTGTTCATTGATTCTTGCATGGTTTTCCAAGGTCTATTTAGGGATCCACGATGTACACAAAAGTAACTGTAAATATTTAGATGTAAATCCAAATATATATATATATATACTTATCGATATATATACATATATATACCATTAGTTAACAATGTAAATATAGTACATCTATATCTATATAAAAAATGTTTGTATACAAAACTATATGTATATATAACTATGAATATACAACTATCTTTGAATAACTATTAATTGAAACGTTTGTATATATATATATATAACTAGATCGTATGTAAATATAATGGCAGATGTATTTGAAGGGGTGTTTTAGGGCGTTCTAGAAGTCCTGCCAGTTGATAGAGATTTTGGGTGAAAACGATACCATCAACTGTTGGACATGACATTCAACTTGAATCAGCAGATTCAACCAACTGGCAATGAACAAAAAAGGTGCGAGTTCTCAGCGAGTCCACTTGATCGGTGATGTGTTCATTTCACATTCGTTTGAACAATCTTGTGATGAGTTTGTTTTTGATTTGGTTGGTTGTTTTTTTGATGTTTGGTTTTGTTTTACGGTTCATATGTCGTACTATATCATTAGGTTGGTGTTTTTATGTGTGTATATGTTTTTAGTTACTCGCGTGCGTATGTAGATACCTCTAATGCTTGTAGCGCAATGAATGCTTTCTTGTTAGGACTCTTAACGTACTTGTTTCGTTGGTGTTTTAATCAATGTAATGCTTCATTTCATTTTGGCTCAAGTAAGCATTCATTGCTAGAAATTTCAAAAAACCCTCCCTCCCACACCAAAAGGGAGTTGCAGTTTACATTGTTTGCATTCGTCTCCATATCCATTTCGCTATCTTTAAGAGATTTACCTTGCATCCGTACGCATTCGAAATTTGAGATGAGCCTGCATCTCATGCATCCGCCATCCCGCTGCTGCTAGGTCGACACGCTTTCGATGTTCCATTCTGACCATTGTCTTTAATTTGGAACTGTTGACCTATCGATTCTATATTGTTGTGGTTCTTTATTGTTTTTTCCAATCTCACCATGGTCTATGGAACTGCTTCGCCTGTATGTTTGTCAGCTTATTCCTCATCAAAGGACCCCCCCCAAAAAAAAACAACCCTATGGCGTTTTCGATTTTTCTTTTGCTCATCAATCTTGTATGAATGGATTAATCTTTGTTGTTTCCACACTTCTGCTGGTCTATGTGTTATGCATGGGTCCTTATGTGGTCGTCAATTCGATCATTTCCTTTCTTGTACGCTTTTGGATCAATAAGATCCAACCCACACCATATAACTCGACCAATATGGTCTTCCAATGATGGGTGAAAACGATACCATCAACTGTTGGACATGACATTCAACTTTAATCAGCAGATTCAACCAACTGGCAATGAACAAAAAAGGTGCGAGTTCTCAGCGAGTCCACTTGATCGGTGATGTGTTCATTTCACATTCGTTTCGTTTGAACAATCTTGTGATGAGTTTGTTTTTGATTTGGTTGGTTGTGGTTTTGATGTTTGGTTTTGTTTTACGGTTCATATGTCGTACTATATCATTAGGTTGGTGTTTTTATGTTTGTATATGTTTTTAGTTACTCGCGTGCGTATGTAGATACCTCTAATGCTTGTAGCGCAATGAATGCTTACTTGTTAGAACTGGGAGAACATTGCTCGCAGCATGGTGGAAAGAGCGCACCGAGATGCCCAGGAGTTGGATGTTCCACTCTTTTGTCTGCAGGCAGCAGACCAAAGACATTCCAGGAGAAACAAGACTGTGGATGCGCAATTAACACATCAGTTGCTAACTATTCCCAATCCTCACCGCACGGGCAAGTTGCAGCAGCATGTTGCTACTGCATGAAAACATGGTTGTACACCTGGTGGATGTGTTAGCTCCGCATCTTGGACTGGTCAAGGATAAGTTGGCTGTGGTTGTGAAGGTGGATTTGCATCATGCTGATCAGCGACGCTTGGCCAACCTAGAGCCGGGCTTTCGCCAGTTCTTTCCAGAGTCCATGGCGAAAGGTATCTGGGTCAAGTTGCTGAAAGGACAGAATTCGCCCATGGAAAAAGCATTGCTGCAGAAGTGGGAAGAATAATTTTCCAATGTGACGGAGCACGCAGCAGATGCCAAAACTCTGTTCTTCGTGGAACTGGTTCATGCTGACTTCAAAATTGATCTGAAGATTGGAGATGAAATCGAGAAAATCGAAGTGATTCGCTGGCAATTTCCTCTTTTGCATGGCATGTTGCGCACTGCTTACAGTGCACAAGGTTTGACTCAGGATGGAGGAGTGGTGCTGGACTTACGTCGCGCGGGCGGGTTGGAGGATTCTGACTGGTGGCTCGCCATTTACGTCATGCTGACACGTGGTAGGAAATTGGAGAATCTGATCTTGTTGGGGTTTACGGACCAAGTAGAAGACCTTCTGCGCAGGGGTCCTCCTCCGTATCTGCGACAACTTACTGACAAATTGGAAGCCAAAGCTGCTTTGACCTTTGAACGCCTTCGGTCGTGGCCTGCCTATGGACAGTAATCCTGCGCTTGTTGTGGCCTTACTGGTTTTGTCCAGGTCGGCCTGTGATAGCGGTGGATGCGAACCAGGTGGTGGTTTCCCACAGTGTCCTGGCATGTTTGTTTTCCAAGCCGTGCTGCAGCCGACATGACATGAGTGATTCAGGTGGTCTCCAACATGTCTTGGCATGTTTGTTTTTCAAGCTGCGCTGCAGGCGACATGACATGAGTGATGCAGGTAGACTCCAACATGTCTTGGCATGTTTGTTTTGCAGCATGACCTGCAAGCGGTGATGCCAGGTGACATTCGGGAGTGAAGCGGCAGACCGGCTAGCAATGTCGCAGACCAAAAAAAACGCAATGGCTTGCTTGCAAAGGGAGTGGCTGGTATCTAGGTGATTTTCACCATGAAGATATGACAGAAGATATGTCAGAAGATTTGCCAGTACCAAAACGTATAAATGTCATGGTGGGGATCACTCGAAGTAAAGTAATCTGTCATTTTTTCTGGTGCTTACTTGGTTCTGAACCAAATATATCAACATGTTCATTTGGTCCCTTGACAACGTTGAAGGAACAGTAGGCCTGACCTGTCTTGATTTCAAAACCTATGCTTCACAGGATTCCATGTCGTTCGCTGATTCTTCATTCCTCGAATAGAACGGCATAAAAAAGGAGTTTGGGTGCAACAAAGTTTCTAACATGGCATGCAGGATACGCAAACTTGTCCCAAACCTTGCCGACTGTCTATTCCAAGTGTCAATTCCGTGATGTTGGACAAACTTCGGGCTTTAGGACACTTGGACGTGTGCCAGGTTGCCTTAGTTGAGGGTGAGCCATGTATGGGTTGCCATCGGCTGGTGGCGCAGCGCGTGGGGTGGCAGGTGGTGCTCCCCCACCACCACCTGCTGGTGGAGTTGTTCGTGGTCGGCCACCAGCGCGTGAGGCTCCGAAGCCCGCGTCCAGTGCACGTGCAACAGCAGGACAGTTATTATTGTTGAGGGGCTACGGGGAGCTACGTGGGGAGTTGGACGAGAATTTGAAGCCCATCACATTTCAAAGCAATCTTCTTTTTTTGGTATCCCAAAGTCAAGCCCTTGACACCTCCCCATCCGTTTCAATGACAGGGCGCCAAGCAAATTGCCAGGACCGGCGAGCCCCAGCCTCACGCACCAGAAAGTCCACTCAATCTGCTGACTATGGTTCCCTCTACGAGATTGAACAGGAGCATTTGATCAACCTTTTGTCGAAATGTGATCGTACCCAGTGGAACTCCCATGTTGTCCAGGGATTGTCCCCTCAGGATGCAGCAGATGCTAGGCTAGACTTATCGACCGTTTTTAAATTACGTTAATAATTATAAGTTCGTGTTTCACCCTTATACATTGCGAGGAATCTGAAGAAACAAACATGATAGATTGCATTGTGCCAAATGCCATGAGATTCACCATATCTATTTGGTACCACCCTCTGTCTGAGGAAATTGTCGGCGTGCTGTTTGGGCTGGATCCTATGGAACAACCCAACATTCCATCGAGCGGGAAAGGCTGGGTTGGGCTATTCAAAAGGTTTGGAGATTGCACCCTGAAATTGAATTCTGTATAGCCATCAAATTTAGCGTCTCTTAAATATGGAATGTATATAAAACTGTTCATGGGTTCTTTCATTCTGATTCTTGGGCTGGCTTCCCACTAATCATCCTGAATAATGTGGAAAAGATTACGTGTGGTTTTCTTGACCCTGTCAGTCAAAGACTACTGTGACGGTTTGCTGGATGAGTATGCGCGCAAGCTCGAGGGCAATGAACTGGGACGTTGTTCCTTTAGCCAACTTTATTCTTACATGTTTTTTGCCCTTTAAGGTTTTGGGGGTAGAGTGCATGTTTGAAAAGCATTAATGTGGTTTCCAACGACTAAAATTCGAGCCGCAAGCTCATTGATTGCGTACGCCATGACCGTGAACAACGTGAATCATTGATGGGGAATCTCGTGGTGTATAAAGTTCCAGGTGGCCGCATGTGTATCCCTGACAGGGTGACGAACAAGTACTTGCCCCAGACAATGAGCCCATGGCAAACGGACATCAAATGGGATTTCGCGCACTTTGTGATAGCTTCAGCTCATTGTATTTTTTGAATGTGGCAAACCGATAATATCCGATAATAACTCAGTTGATATCTTTTGTAAAGTGACCACCAATATTAGTTCACCCCGCTATACTATTTCGGGTAACACCAATATCTAGCTACAACCCAGGGAGTACAAACCATACATCACCAATGGCATCCAGTCAGAATATTGCGACAACTTCCTGAAGCTCAAGACCCTGGAGCCCAAGGTGGCGACAGCGTTTGATTTCACAAGCGTTCGCAGGTCCAACACTGAGGATGATAGGGATTCGATTGCGTCCGCTTTTTGGTTGAAATTCAACAATGTTTGATTCCAGCCGTTTAGGGCCCCACATCCGGCAAATCCACTTGAATAGATTTTTGAATAGGGAGATGTTATACTACATGGTATATTCCACAATGACCTACAAAATCAATGAGGACTTGCGTGCACCCTCGCATGTGGGAGTGGACATTCGCCCCATCCCGTTTCTGGTGGCCTATCCCACATCATCGAAGCCACTGCTGGTGAACATTGAATCCCCATGAGAATGTTTTGAGTTGCCTGAGAACGCTGAGCGAGATTACCAGGTCACCCAGAATAAGAAGAGTGACAAGTGGATGGTGAGCTCCCCATCATTGTGCTACTCCAAGTACGCCACTTTCTTGAGATTATGGTGGTAAATTCATTTTCATTTTAATTGCCCAAGCAGCGTGTGGCCCCAAAAAAAATCAGGTTCATTGCCCAAACAATATGTGGCCCCAAAAATCTTCAGGTTTCCTACGCCCATAGTCCGATCAGCCAGGTGCAGGATTTGTTTGCATCCATGAAGCGCACCAAATCGAAGTCGCCATCACGTTCTCGATCTCCTCGGATGACTGCAGCATCACCGAATGCCATTGCTGAAGCTGTTGAAGAGACTGAGGACTGGTGTGGCGCATGGTTCATGTTTCCGGTTTGGGTAATTGGGATGTATGAAGTTTAAAGATGTTTATATAAAGGGTTTGAATCCAAGATACAAAATTCAGAGAATCAAAATGGTGGTCTACATTGTGGGATATTGTGAGCCCTTTGACTAGGACCCACCAGCACCTTCCCCACCACTTGAACATGCACTTGGTGGTGCCACTGCGAAGGCGGCTGCAGTGAAGCCAGTCCCATTACCCCCAGCGATGTGAGAGCCGGGCTGCGGTACGACTCAATCGTGCTGATGTCCAACAAATGGCCCAGTGGTGTCGAAATACTTCAAGAGCGGCAAACAGTAACCCAAAATTTGGCTCATTTCCAGGACATGGTCAATTTTGGGGTATGTTAGAATTAGGACGCTATTCTGCAGCTAATTCTGGGACAAATTCTAACATACCCCAAATCTGGCATGCTCCAAAACCATGGAAATTTGGGATTTTTGGCTCCCCCAAAACTGGCGACAAGGATTGGGAACCCTGGGGATAAATTTAGCTTTTGAAACAGGATTTGGTAGATTTTAACGAACCAGCAGTTCCAAATTGTTGGGTCATCGGATGGGACAGGGCCAGCACAGGTTTTGGCAACCAACATAAGGCCACATATCCCTGATACTTCTGCTTTTGGGGGGCCAAGCACGTGACACTCAGTGGGTTCGAACTCTAGCTTCTCCAAATTAAATACAAAATATTGGGTCTACTGCCATCAACAGCTTTCTTTGGTGATTGAAAACGATCCTTCAATTATGACGGGTGTTTGCTTGTAGTGCTGGTCACACTGGGTCACTGAGGACAAATTCCAGGATTGGCCCCCCCGGACCTTGAAACTGCCCAGCTACAATGGAATCTCTTGGAACTCTGTCAGTTGGTTTGGATGACTGATTGATCGAGTTTCAAATGCTACTACAGTATTTCATTGAAAGTAAACCTTCACATAATTTGGTTACTGCACTTATATGTCTTCGCTTTATTCAGAACTGGTTGGTGCAGTGCAGGTGCGTCCTAGACATTTCATTTGTACGCTCTTCGCGTAGTAAACCGCCGAGTTGCAGCATAGACGGCAAGGAAAAGGATGTTAGTTGCATCAGTGTCCAACCCCATCAAGCGTCTGTATTGACCTGGCATCAACCAAGAGCCCTGGGATAGGTTTGACGAATTTTCCTTGTAACTCAAAGCCCCTGGACTCGATTCTTAAAGCCAGACTCGTCCCAAAACTTCTCAGGTGTGCGACAGATCACTCTTGTGGGATGATCGCGATTTGGATGATGACTGCAAGGCTGATCAGGCCAACGAGAGGGAAGATGCATTGATACGTCAGGCTGCAGCAGTGTCCTGCCGAAAGCGTTAGTTAGCAATCATGTTCCATCCATTTGTCCCTTCCACAATATCTAGGTATGACCCTGAAATCAATCGAACCAAGTAAGTTTTAAGTCAAAAACCCAGTTGCCTTGCAAAGGGGATGGAGCTTCAGGGAACCATTGAGCAGGGTTCCATGGCGCGGCTTCGCAAGGAAGCAAATGCAGCTCAGAACCAATTTTTGAAATCTGTGCAAATGCTGTCCAATGCCCTTTTACCAGTGGTGGGCATCGATTCGTTTTTGCCACGGTCTGCAAACCCCAGTGGTGGTTCTGATAGAGATGCTTTGACCAAGAACCCTGTTCTCATCGCATGTGCTGACGAGGAACGGAAGCAGTTTCTCATCCCACATATTCATTTTATTCCCAAATGTTCCCCCTGCGATACTTGTGATATATATATATATATTGGTTTTGGTTCTCTGTTTCTGCAACAGTGTAGAAAACTAAGCATTTTGGAGTATGGAGCTGCTTGACATGTTGATCCTCCTTGGGGCTTTCAAGCTGAGGGTGAAATGGGTCAACCAATTGGCCTATGGCCTACGACTTCGACTCTGGCGGAATCAGGACTATCACCATCGGAGTGTCAATGACGCCAGGCTTGCTATACCGTCTTGCGGTCTCTGGGGCACGGTTTGTGAAAAAAACTCAAACATTCAAATTCAAAGTTTTGAAGACATTTTAATCTAAACTAGTGCCTCACAAGGTCAGTTCTGAAAATAAATTGGTTCTTACAACTGCTAAATTTCGTGGGGTTATGTTTTTTGGGCTGTTATGTGTTCACAACATAGTCTGGCCTTAGGGGGGGCCACAGATGTGTTCAAAAGTATGGGGGGGAAAAAAAGTTACCTAAAAACACATATCGCATCGCCACGCAGGCAACCTCCAAACCAGCAACAAAAGCAATAGAATAAGATGCAAATCTTTAGCGACTTGAAATGGGCCCAAAATCCAACAGACCAACAGAATGACCTGTATGTGCTTAACATCCATACTAACAGGTTGCATGACACTAGCGATTGGTCCGTACCCAAAAGCTTGAGGCTAAAGTCTAAAGCTCAACTCTAGCAAGCAGCTAACGGGTTACTATACATTTGTAGCCATGATACCACCTTTTGTAGTCACAAACATAAACTAAGTTGGCGGCTCTGCTTACCTAAATACTCAGACTCGAGGGCTGCCGGCTGCCAGCTGCCCAAGTTATTTTTTTTGGGGTGCGCCTTACAATATGCATTTGTTGTTTGTTTTTGAACGATATCAGAAATTTCTGATGCATCTTGAAAAAAATATGTATCAGAAATTTCTGATACATATCAAAATTTTATGATACATATCAAAATTTTATGATACATATCAGAAATTTCTGATACATATCAGAAATTTCTGATACATATCAGATTTTTCTGATACATATCAGAAATGTCTGATATATATTTTTTTTTATGATGCATATCAAAATTTTATGATACATATCAGAAATTTCTGATACATATGTTTTTGGATGTCAAAACCTGATTGGTATCAGAATTTCTGATACACACCAGTCTTGGGGACACAATATGTGTAAAAAAGTTTCAAATTGAGTGGTTTTGGAAGCTGTTTTCAAACTTTTTTACACATATTGTGCACATTCATCATGTTTGCACTAGTTGTTTTTCCAATATGAGTTGGACTATAAAGCAACATGCCTCCACTTCACACTTGCACATGCACTTCAAAACAAACTTGCTTAGTACCCGAATTCCTGTTAAAGTTGGTGATTTCGCCCAATGTATGTGTTAAACTGAAGTTTAGTAATCATTATTGGTTTTGCATACAACTTTGTGTGTGGCTTGCAGTTTTTCACAAACGAAACCTATTACCATCATTCTGCCACACATTCTGTGTGAAGAATTTTGCAAAGCTTTAGTGGCCATGAAAATGATCACTTATGACCATAGTTGATCGATTTTGCATAGGCCAAGATCACATTTGTCCAATTCGCATGGTTTAATCAATCAATAAGAACTTAATGTCTGACCCATTTATGTTTGACAACTCAAGCCATACTTCTTAGATGTTGCAATGCTTTGCCAGCTTGGGTTGCCATTCATAGATCTGCAATGGTTTCAGCAATTAAATCTGTCATGTGTTGATAATCATCATTCACACAAAGCTGTTAGATTACATCATTGAACTTTTTTTTAAGCCCATGAACTTTGAGACTGCTGTGCCAGTGCAGTTAATCAACTTTCTGTCTGTATGAGTGTGGCTAATGGCTGTATGGTCATGTGTTCTAGGGCGGCATCTCATGATATGTGTTCACAAGTCTCGTTTCCCCAAAATTGAATAAAAAACAATTCATTTTGGCGCAACCTAATGTTTCAACACATGTTGGTGAATTTCAATCGCAATTTCTGATAAACGAGAGCTCGCGAAATTCAATACTTACAACTGAATCTGGTCACTGTGAACCTGGAGGCGTGGTGGCAGCCATCCGCTTTGGCTTCAGCGTTTCCCGCAAAACCATTTGACAGCTATGACTGTCATCAGCAGTTGGTGGATCTAGTGCGATGCTATCTCAATCTCTTTCCCCCCAGCTCATTTTTTCTGCGTGCATGTAAATGTAATGTAATGTGACAATATGTATGTGTGTGTGTGCATGTGCGTGTGTGTGTGAAACATTTTGTAAGCGGGTCTGAACACTACAGTACGCGTTATCTGGAGCTGAGTTGTTCAACGCAAATTCTGAAATAAGATAAAGTTGTTTGTTGGGAAGCCCAGGTTCTTGGTGGACATCGACGACATGAAGTTTGACCTGGAGATGACGCCAGAAGCCGCACCAGAAGAAGTTTTCACGACTGTGTGAAACAAGCAGCAGAGCAGCTCACTCATGCGCAAGAGGTCAGGGCACAACTTTACGTGGGTGAGATAGATATCATCAGATTTGCTATCAGAATTATATTCGGTTAAAGCACTCTCCAAAGTTTGAAGGATCGGGATCAGCTTACAAGAAGTTTTTAGCCCTGAAAGAGTTCCTGTTTAAGAAATTTGGTTTTAATCCAATATATATATATATATATAGCTGCCCTTTCTCAGCCAATAGCTAGTTTTCAGCAAACCTTCATGCAAGTGCCCGCAGGTGACAACTTCCAAGTTCCACCTGTGGAATTTGAAGTTTGGGGCTTGTCGACGGCTCTGGACGTTTTTGAAGAAGATCTACACTTTCAGAAAGGCGCAACAGGGTTCTGAAGACATCCAAGTAGACGATCCAGATGCTGAAGCACCAATCCCCACCAACAATTCACTGGAGGAACTTGCTGCCAGATTGAAAGTCCTACAAAAGAACCGACACACACTGGACTTGGTATGCGATATCTTTTCAGATTTCCGGGTCCAAAAGCTTGGGTACATGTGCCTAAGCTGGCTACTGGTAAAGCGTTTGTCGGTATACAGCTTAAAGCGTGGATGGGATTTAATGACACTAGAGACTTTCTAGATTAAAAGGTCACAAGGTAAAAGTTTTCAAAGCCAGCCATTATTCGTAGATATCCTCCTGTCAGAAATGGGCCTAGGATCTACTTCGCTGAGAAGCCGCTGCGTGAAAGCCACCTTGCCGTTTTGGAGGCAACCAAAGGGCGTGCAGCCAACATCCAACTGCAAGCAGGGTGGACAAACAAATCTTTTGCTGCTGTCACTTTGGCAGTTTTGAGCAACCTACAGGACGAACACGTTTTGGGAAGACTCCAGGTTCTTGACGCACCTTTGGACGAACAAGGACTGAAACAATCGAGGGAGGATTGCCAGGCTTTCATGAAGCTGTGTGTGGCGATGGCCGCGCAACGTGCTTGGACTATGATGGTGCATCGCGTGTGCCAACCTGATAGTTGGATGGGACTTCTTGACGACAGTCTAGAACTTCGACGTGAGGCCTCTGCAACACTTCCAAAGGATGCTGAAATCATCGCACGGGCTTGGGAGCTTCTGCAAGCAAAGGATCCATCAATCGACATTCCGGTGGGGTTTGGTCCAAAGAAACTTTTGTTCGCATTTTTTTCTGTAAAGAGGCTCTTAAAATTGTCATTGTTACTATTTGGTCAAGTGGCCTAAGCAATGCAACTCTGACCCATGTCCACATCCCTGCAGGGTGTGCAAAAGCTCTTCGATGACTTGTGGTTTCATCATTTGACCCTTTGTCAGGACACCATGCGGTAACATTCCAGGTATGACATGTAGGTTCTTCGATAGCAGTTTTGTTGGATAGATAGAGGCAATCTCTCACCATGTTCGCCTTTGCCTTGCTATCAAATGATATGAAGGCAATTGAAAGTTATATAGTTTTGCATTTAAGTTTGTTTCAGACAAGCAGTCCTCACAGTAACACCCATCTGCGAAGGAGCTATGGGAGCACGGCAAGAAGTGGAACTGGGACTACGCGTCAATCCACGCCCACATTTTCAGACTTTGCGATACTTTGGTATCTTCCAAGGAGTGTGTTGAAGACCTGTTTGGGAAAGGTGCAGACCTGAAACCTGCAAACAAAAACCCGTTTAAGGCGGGGAGTACAGAACGTTTCCATTTCAACAATAGTCATTGGATTCGCCTTCCTGGTGATGAGTGGCCAAAACTGATGATTGAACGGGACGATGTCACTACTGTGCAGAATCAACCACGTCGAACACATGTGAATCTTGGGACCTCAGCCCCAAACGGACATACACTCAAAACCATTCGAACAGCGAACTTGAAGAATAGTGATGTGTGTTTAGGACTATATGATGGGCCCAAAAACGGCGTCAGGAGGCAACTTACCCCCTGCCTCCTGGCGGTCATTTTGCGGTTGCGGGAAACTCATTTTCTCCAATTGAGGGGTCTTTATGGGGTTGCGGGAAACTTATTTTTTCGTATTCAGGGGTCTTTTTGGGGTTTTGGCCAGGTGTGATTGTCAGCCAGGAAGTGGCACAAAGGATGGGCGATGAGGCTATCCATGAGTTGGGAACGCATTTGGACCAGATGGTTTTAGGACTTGAAACCTTGTTTTTGCTCTAAAAAATGTTGAAACTAATAAATGAAATCGACTGACATGGAAGAATTTCCGAAAAAATAATGAATTATTGAGATTTTTTCGTGCCGTGTCAATGATATCAAATTTCCACACGCTGCGGGGCTGATTTTTTTCAAGAATAGAAAGCACCGCTTGACGTTAAATTAAGATATTTTGAAATTTATTAATGGAAGAATTTCGGAAACCATCAATGATGTTCTTCCGTGCCGTGTCAATGATATCAAATTTCCACACGCTGCGGGGCTGATTTTTTCAAGAATAGAAAGCACCTCTTGACGTTAAATTAACCCAACTCACCCATGTCCCTGTGAGACAGGTAACCGCTTCAGTTACCATCCTCAGAGGTAACCAAGATTTGGTTCCGGAACCGGGTGGATATTTATGTGGTTTTATTACCTTCAACCCTAAAAGCTTAATGTTTCAATTATCTGACACTGGTTCTTGATAAAAAGTCCATGTGATAACATGACAAGCGAAGCCATTTGGCTTCATGTGGCGTGCCCGTGCTTTAGCATGGCGCTCGAAAGGTGCCACCCACCCTCTTGCTACTGCATTGCATGTTGATGGGGATCCCTGACACCCAGCTGCTCACCCTTTTTGATTTTCCAAACCCGCAGCCACTAGTGTGCATTTCAAGCCTTTGGTCCTGCCAGAGCAATGGATCAACGCGGTGGTCTGGTGGATGTGGAGTTTCTAAGTTCATTTTTTTTTAAGTATGTTCAAGCCAATTTGATCAACAATCAATCGATCTAAATGACCCTGGGATTTGAATGAACAATTTTTTCTGCTTCGAGGCAAGAGTTCCTCAAATGCCTCTATGATGACTGGTGCCAGAAGAAGGGGCTCAAAGAGATTCGGACTGACCCGAAGCATTCCCTGATTGGTGATGTGCCAGTGGATCCAACCGAAGAATCTGTTGCGACCCTTTTTGAACCCATAGCGATGGTGCTAGCCCAGTTTGGGACACAGCCGCCATATCTTTCGAAATTCAAAGCACCTTGATTGATGCATCATATTTTTTTCTTCTTATCATGCCATGTATGGGTATGGAAACATATATGTCAGCATCTTCAGCCCTGCATGCCACATGTTGTCATGAACCATGCCACAGTGTCCTTTCACCAGGCTGCCTTCATGCACATCTGCGAGCTGCATGCGTTGTTTCCTGCATCGGCTTTGCAGAAGGACGTGGTGTCATGGGCCGACTTTGAATCCAGCACTTTCAGGCAACATATCGTCTATCTGAATCGATTGTGGAGAAAGACCCGTTTCAGATCCAAGTGTCTTGATTAAAGCATGGCGTGCCATGATCAAACACCAACATAGAACACCTCCAGGTTTGTACATATATTTATAAAAAAGAATTAGTGCCAATCCAGTCCATACCCCAGCACTTTGGAGCCCACATGCTAGGTCAGAGCAAGTCCAAGTCTTGAAGGACATCTTGAATACCAAGTATCCGTTGGAAGAGGCTGACCCTCCCACTGGTGAGACGCCTCCAGCCGATCATGGTGATTCCAATGCTGATGCTCCTGACAGCACTGGCAGTTCTGAGGGTGATGGGTCTGGGCCTGGTGGTGATGAGGAGATGGCTGAACCAGCCCCTTCAGTTGAAGCTGTTGTGACATCAAGCAGTGGGGCCCCTGTGGACACCATGGAAACATTGGTGCTGGACCAAGGGTCTGACACTTGGCCTCCTTGCCCATGGATCCCAAAATCATCTTTGCGTAGATGGCTATCAAAACGATCAACTACCCTTGAGGATTGCAAGTTCAAAAGCGTTCCTCAAAATGTCAAATGTTATTATTTTTATATTTTTTACTGGTACGTTATTCAAATATCGCTGCCGCATTTTACCCATCAGGACAATGCTGAGCCAGCTGATGTTTATGGCACTCCAGTTGAACATGTGACGAATGAGGCGCCCTTAAACTTGTGAAGATAGCCATAGCAATAGTCCATTAATCCACCCTTTACCCAGCACTGGTCCAGGCTCCTGATGCTGATGGTGATGGAGACAGCAATCCTGAGGCGTGCTGAAGAGCTGCTGGAAACACAAATATGGGCACAGTACGAGTTTGATTAACCAATCACTTTTGAGGACACTGGTGATGTTCACCCTGAAGCTAGCCACACAACGCAGGATGAGGCGTGGTGAGAACTCAGTGGCCACCCCCTGTCCTGCACTTCCACATTGCAAGTTTCAAAAGAGCCAGGTTCCGGATCCTGACAGCGGAGCTGGCCATGACTCTGAAATGGTCGTTCCCGAGGTGTGGGGAAAAGTTGGTGGGGAGGTTGCTCTGGTGGTTCTGAAGTTTAAGTAAAGAGGTGATGTTCGATTGCAATATACCTGACAAGAATCAGAAAGTTTTCATATAATAAAATTGCACACAACTGATTCAAATAATATGGTATGTATCTGTATTTCAAATGCGTGTGCTTTGGATAGGTCGCTGAAGCTCCCGCAGCTGAGAATGAAGAGGTGCAATCCCCTTGCAAATATGTCACATCATGCCTGTCAGGGTTTAGACAGTGTCTTACATGGTATCTCCTGCATTGATAATGTTGAAAACAACTTATGGTGAGGGCGTGTGCCTGGACAGGTCACACATGAGAGCGAACCTATCCAAGATTCTGAGGTGCCAACTTATTTTGACTTATTATACTGAACATGTGCCTTATCTCAGCCTATGAAAAGGATTTGATGTGTCAACATTCATGTGTCCTCTGAAGGCTGCACTGATGGCGGACGTTGGTGACAAAGTGTGGGAACCAAATGTCCACACACCTGACCGGCAAGCTGGTATCGAAACATGAGACAATTTCCAATTTGTTTCTGCAGGCTGAAGATCTTGGTGCCCTGTGTGCTTCCCCTGAAGTTCTTGGTGCCCCATGTGATGCTGAAGATCGTGGTGACTCATGTGATGTCATGCCCCAAGGTTGAAAGTCAATAGGTGGTTGTTGGGTAATACGTTTGTAACTCCTGAATGTCATGATCCATGATTTCGTGGGTTTGCATGAGGCTGTGCCTTCTCTTGAAGACGCCCCTGAAAACACACCCCAGGACCAGCAATCCTATCACTTATTACTTATTGCTTCTCAACTCCAGATACCCTAATGCTCTCAATCGGGTCGCCTCCATCGTGGCCAGGAGCTGCCAGGAGCAACGAAGCCTAGGCCGTGTCATGCCGATGCTTTCCAGATCTGGTGTTCTGTAATTGATTGTGCGGGGGAACGCTTATTTTTCCAATTTAAGGGTAAATATTTTCAAGATCTATTTGATACTAATTTATCCTCTCCAAACTTCAAACCAGCTGCCACAAGGACAGGGCGCCTATGATTGTGAACCCGCCTGATCTCAACCATGTCTTGGCTGGCATATCGTTGAAAGACATTGCATCCACTCCGGACATGAGCATACTCCAAGCGCAAGAAGCCATGATTCTAGATTGAAACAGTCAGATTCTTTATTATCTTTACTTTTATCTGTACGTGGAATCTGTGCACCTTATAACTACATCGACCTACTTTTTCTCCTGTCCCAATCTTTTTGGCAACATCTGAAGGCGACAGAAGACACGTGAACAAGCTCGTGGCTCTGGCGCAGATGATCCTGGTGCTTCTGGCAGAGGACGTGGACGGGGCAAGGGGAGAGGCAAAGGCAAAGGCAGAGGAAGACAGGTACAGGAGGATGACCAGCAGGCAGGCACCACTGAAGAGCAGGTGAAAGGCAGGCGCAAAGGGAAAGGGAAAAAAAGGTTGGCAGAGGTTGAGGTTCAGGACCTGGAGCAACAGGAAGGTCACCAGCAGGAACCACCCTCCGGCTCCAGCGGCCCTGGCAAGGGTAGGGGGAAGGGGAAAGGTAAGGCGAAGGCCAAGGCCAAGGCTGAGGCTAAAGGAAAGGCAAAAGCAAAGGCGACGGCGAAGGCAAAGGTGGAACCCAAACCTCATGTTGTAGGCGGGGCATTGATGTCTACATGTTACATAGTTCAAATTCATGTATACTCTTGTGATGTGCGCTTTTTGATTGCTACTCCTGTACAAATTGGGTGAAATCAATATTTTGCTTCATATGCCAGATGAAGCAGAGAAACAGAAGATCAAAGACTCCCTGCCAAACCTGAACTTCTACAAGGCCCATTCAATCACACACACACATTATGTGCTTAGCGTTCATGTGCACTTCAAAATGGTTCAAGTGACCCTTTAAGAGGTTTGAGAAGAACGTACATGAAACGAAAAGGGTTGCCTAAAAAACACTTGAAGACACTATAATTCCTTTTCTCTTTTGTGTGTGTGCACGTGTAGGTGACTATCTACTGGACCCGTGGAGATGTAGGAGTTGAGCAAAAGCAAAGGAGACAGGCTGATGGGACACTTCAGAACAAAGAACCGGCACCCCTTGCCTTGTTTCTGCACATTGCTATATGATATATGTGTGTGTGAACAACGACTCGCTTACAAAATATCCATGGTCTGTAGCTGTTGTCAGTTTGTGCCAGGTGGCATTCCTCAGCATGAAAGTGTACCCCCATGCTTCCCTTGCCACGGTGGTGGATATCTGCGCCTCACTGGCTATTGTCTTAGTTAAATTTAGTGGTCTTTTTCCCCAGCACTTCAATTCCGTTGCCAAGCAGCTTGCAACAAGGCCATTTGCACTGGACAATGGAGTAGCCGTTGATGAAGCCATGGCCACCTTTTACCAGGCACGAGACAGCCGGATGGGTGCAAGGGCTCCAGGAGCCCGAAGGGCACCGCAAAATGTGGAGTAGTGGCTTGTTGACTTTGGGGTGAAACAGCACCAGTTTTTCATTTGTTGTGCATTCCTGCTGCTTTCAAATTGTAACAATGGATCGTGAAATCGGCCATTGGGGGCGTGCAGCAGGTCTCACAATTAGATTTTAAACTTGGGAGCTGGACCGTCAGTGGTGCACCTGAAGCTCATCCATCCCCGAAAGTCCAAACATTAAACTTTTGGATTTCATTAGGTCATTAGGTCTTTTAGCTGTACATCATTAATTAAATGTTTTCCCAACTTTACCTAATAGCTTTAAAGACAAGGGGGTGGAGAGCACGGTCGGCGCTAATCTTAAGATTCTAAGATGTGGCTGGCACACATGGCCACACGAAGCAGGAGTGACAAAATGGATTTCAAATCTGGTCAGGTACATTGAATTTGTATCACTGTGCATATGTGTCTCACATGTTTGTAACCTTCAATGCCACACTTATGTGATGGCACGTGCAAATGTGCATGTGCATGCATTCCTGTTACTGACATGGCATCAAGCATTTAGGCAGTGGTAACAAAAAAATCTTGGGTGCTTCACCTGTCCCATCATGGCCGCGGGGTATCGCCTCACGAATGTCCAAGCTGGTCTCCTTCTAGCCTTGGGAGCGCCGTGCGTCTTGTGCCATGACTGTGCTAGAAATTGTGAGGAGTTTGATATGAATTGTTGGGGGAAAACCTGTGTCTAATATATTTTCTGTACCTCACCCTGTTCAAACGCATGCTCCAACTGAGGGTACATATCCTGGACTACACAGGGGCTACCTCATCTAGCGCTTACTCACGAGATCCTTGGTTTGAGATGTTCAGCTAATGGTGTCATGTGGTGTATGCATATTGTCCCACAATAACTAATATTATCTCCATATCTCTACCCCATGCTGTCTCAGGATCTTTGGTGTTTCGAGATGTTTGCGGGAACTGCTGGTGTTCACAAGTCCTTTCGCCAGAATCTTATCAGGGCTTAACTTCAAAATGAACTGCAATATGTTTCACTAAATGCATGTGAACACATATCATTTCCTGTATTGATCTTTTTTCACAAAATGCATTTGAAAATTTCATTGTTTGTATGAAATTATTAATGATATATTCAAAACAGAAAGATATCATACTATGTGCTCAGGTCGTATGGGCATGGCTTCTGCCAAATATGACCGGGACATTGACAGTGATTCCATGGATTTCTCCACCTTGCCTCTTGCATGATATGAGCCTGAGGGTTATGATCATGTCATGTTGTTGGCCACAAAATTTCAGAGAAGATTTCCATGTCCTTTTACAACTGGTTTGGAGTAATATTGATGTTTAAGGGCACCAAGAACCCATCATAAATGATCATATTTTTCAGTATTATTGGAATGTTTCCCTCATATCCTGCAGCCTTATGTAATCTGACGAGGTTGGGATTCTTGGTGGCGTGCCAATACGTCTTGAGGGTGAAGGCAAATGGCCTCCTTTGGGGGGGGCTGCCCTGCAGCCTTCATGTTTGGATCTCCCGAGGAACGTCGGGGAAGAGCCGAGATAACCCAAGAGGTATCTGTAATGGTGTGTTCAAACACGACTGTGTTCGTATTGCCAATCTAGTGGCAGCACGTTATGCCATGGTGGTGCTCGTGTGCCTCGTGCGTCAAGTGATGTGGGTCACAGAACAACCTGCATCTAGCGTGGCTCCATTCCTACCTTATTTAGAGGTAGCCCTTTACACTGCCCGCCAAATGCTTGGATTCCCTGCTGGCCTCCTCCAGAAATTGTGCCTCAGCAAAGTGATAGATTGAAAACTGATAGCTGCATGTGTTTGTGTTGTATCGTCCCATCTTACTTTCATGTCCCCATCATTTTTGGCCACTAAGTTGGATGGGGTTATTTGGATCGAGAAGTTTGAAGAGGAGTGCGTTATTTGGCTCAGCGCCCTTTGGTTCAATTATTTTGTTCTGGCATTCTCACTGTTGGGAAGGAGACTTCAACATCCCTATTTCTCACAGTCTTTGAGCTGCCTTGAGGCCTTATATCACCCAGTTTTCCATCCAGAACCGTGTTACTTCAGAAGATCGTGAGAAGTTCAAGTGGAACTCAGCCGGAAACACTAAGCTGAGTAGGACCAAAAGTGGCAGAAAGAATGTGTCCTCTAGCAGCAGTATTGATGTTAACAACGTTGATATGGTCTGGTTGAATACACCTGCCATGCATGGACCCTTGAATATTAACATGGCTTTGCATATGAGGTCAGGAGGGCCACGGCTTACCTCGACACAAGCCTATCCGACCAAGTTCTGCAACAAAGTTGCATCGTATCACAAGAAGTTTTGTGTGGACACTTGGTCTTGGATGACCTACTTCTAATCTAAGTCTGAGCGGGCTGATGATAGTGGTTGGTATGCCGCCCAAAAAAGGGCCAACTATAAGATACTTGAACCTATTTTATTGAACCAAACCTAACCTTGTTGTAGAGGTTATAAGCACTAGTACAGTATAGTATAGAATAGAATAGTAGCCATAGTCGTCGAGACTCATAGCATGTGTTTGCCAGATAAGGATCCCAAGTCATTCCCTGCTCTACCGGATGCCTATCAGCTGAAGACTGGGCCACATGACTTTGTGACTTGGATGTTTTTTTAAGACCAGTGAGTGGGCCAACTCTTTAAGGCAGTTGAGTTCCACCATGAACTTTGAACATTTAGAACCCATGGGTACTTTGACCCAACTTGTCAACATGTGTTCTTAGGTTGACAGCTCGGTGTGGCAAGATGCGCAGTTGGAACATTGGCAGCATATGGAGTTTTAATCATACATGATACCAGGGAACCCACTGACCAAGAATCAGATGGATATGTCTCAAAATCAGGTGTCTTTGGTTTCAAAAATAAGGGGAAAATAAACACCTCATTTTGAGACATCCCCATATACATGCATATATGTATATGCATTTTATTATTTACAAATATATAAAAACAATATATATATATATATGTTAAGATACATGCATACCTATACATATATATATATAATATGCATATATATATATATATATATACATATTCAGATGTGTGTAAAACAATATTTATATGATTCAGTCTTGGGGGCAACACCTATAGCAACAACTGGTAACACCCCTCCACAACATAGCCGCGCCACAGGATGAATTTGTCCTTTTCCTGAAGAAGGAAGCCAGGCTTGGTCATTTCCAACCTCGGCCAAACGTGCCACTTCGCTGTGAGCCCTTGAGCAGGGATGAGGTTAGCATTTATTTTCAGTTGGTGAATCCAACCTCCAACAAAAAACGTGGGAGGGATGATTAAATTATCATATGCTATGTGATGCCAATTTGATTGCCTCGGGGCATGGTCCTGTCATGTGACATCATGTGATTAATCACCACCAAACAAAAACTAGTTGCTCTGTATGCCCATTTTTAGATGTGGCAGGATCCAGCTCTTGAAATTCAGTCGATGCTGTGCAGTTGTCACTGCAAAAGCACTTTGGGGGCAAAAAAGTGTTTCTATAGTTGATGATGTGTGTGTATACATCTTGCCATGGGCAAACTTGATACCTTTTGTGCCACTCGTACATGGTTATTCTCATATTTGGTGCTCAAGGGATTTTGCTACTCTGCCCGTTGTTGAGCAAACAGGACTGGGCGTTGAAAGTTTCACTTCTTTTGAAAAAAACATGCCACCCGGAACCGTTATGGAACCGTTAAAAAACAGCTGGAACCGTTAAAAACAGGCCCGGAACCGTTAAAAACGGGCCGGAACCGTTATAACTATTTTAATGAAAACTAATCACATATGATGATAACTTATCGTGAGGATACCATCCGAAGACTTACACATTATCAGTGATAATTCATGGGTTATGAGGTTTATAGGCCACAAATTCAACACCCTGTGCAGGATGCCGCGTCCAAAGAAGGCAGTGCAGCCAGTACCACATGGATCCATCGGTGGTTCAGTCTTTCTTGGCTAAAGCAAGGGCCATGGTTACCACAGTGGGTGACAAACGCAAGTCCGGTGATGATACATCAGCCCTTGCACCACCTCCCACAAAGGCAAAAGGTTCAGCACCACCTCCCAGCAAGTCTACACAGCCTGTGGTTGCACCTTCGTGTCCAGCGACTAGCAAGGTATCACCACCAGCAGCCCCACCAGCAACAAGGGTTAGGGGAAAGAGTCCTGAGGGAGGCACTTTGCCTGTTACCAAGGCAAAGGCTTTGAGTTTGAAACCTGTCCCACTCAAGAACTCTGGCCCATCGTCTTCCTCAGGGATTTCAGCGTTTGAAAGAACCCGTCAAGCTTTGATCGATGCAAAGAGCACCCGTGAGGCCCGTGAGGCAAATGAAGGGAAAGCAGCTGCAGCCAAGCCAATTGCAGTGAAAGCAGTTGCAGGCCAGGTGAAAACAACTGAACCAGAGCCCAAGTCTGCAGCAGGTGATGACAAGACCAAGCCTGGCACAGATGACATGGAGGTTGAAACTCATAGTGCAACACCTGCCCCGCCAGTTGAACCAGCTGCCCCTGATTTGTTGGTCACTCCACCTCCCAAGGCCAACCAGTTTGCTTCTCCCAATGGGTCGCCCGATGCTTTGGTCAGTGATACAACGCATGAGGGTAGCTCTAGATCTGGTTCTGATGAGTTTGATGATGATGACCCCCGATGGTTGCAAGGGCACAGCCAACGCTCCTACTATGGGTCCAGGGGTGAGTCTTGGTGGTCACGAGGGGATGAATACTACCCTGCCCATTACTGCTACTATTGGGACTACAATCGAAACCGTGGTGTTTACGCGCGGGGTGACCAAAGTTGGACCTACACATCACCTGCCTGGAAAGAACATGGATCATGGGATGGCAGATATGATACACCTTCTGTTGAAGCACCTGCATTCCCTGATGGAGGGGACAGTGTGCGCACTGCGTTGCATTCCAGACTCCCGACTACCATTTACAGCCCTGATGAAGCCAGCCCTGATGGCACTCCAGGTGAAGTGCCTTCTGAGATTCCAGCTCCCTCAGGGCCAGGTGATGGTCCAGGTGAGGATGCTGCAGATGCAGAACCTACAGCAGGGAAGACGTGGAGGACGGACAAGCATGGAAACCCCTTAAACCCAGCGGCTTTGTATATGAGATTCTACAGACAAATCCGAAGTACCTTGGATGAAATACAACACACACATATATATATTATTATACACATATATATTATTATAAACATATATATATATAGCTATACACAAACATACATACATACATACATACATACATACATACATACTTTAGCGGACGAGCACTTAGAATATGGGAAAATCAAACTTCCGTGTTTAACGCGAGTCCAGGATATATCTGTTTTCATATGTTGTTGAGACGTTTTAATTCACACATCGAATTTAAAAAATAAAAAGACCCCACACACTTAGAATATTTTGGATGTTTATGTATAGTATGATATTAAGAGAAAACCACAAAAAATCGTGTGTGTGTCACAGCCGTTTTCGAGGCGTCTCAAAACCCACAATCCTTTTGGACACAACTGTTGAATTTGTTTCTAAAACAACCACATTGGGTTCGTACATAATTCGTCACTTTGTACATCAAGCAAGGCAAAGAAAAGAAACATACAGTTGGGTTGGGTTCGTTAATTCCTTCAAAACAAAGGTAAATTGCAAAACAAATGCAGCTGTCTCAAAACAATCTCAGTACATCACCACATCGGCTTGCAGTTGTTGCAATTCGTTCTGCGAAACACACTCATGGTACAGTACCAGCTGGTTGGCAGTTGTTGTTTTTGTTTGTGTAAAATTTTGCATTTATAGGCAGCGAATGCACTTAGAATATGGTCAAGGTTAAGGAAGGCACATAACCGAACAGTTTGCAGCTGAGTTCTTTACTGCGAAGCAAGCAAGGCACAGTGTCAAACAGTTTGCAGCTGTTGAGTTCATAATTGCAACACAATTTCGTCCAAGCACCATATGCTTTACAGTTCTTGCACCTGGTACTGCAAAACACGCATGGTACAGTACCAGCTGGTTGGCAGTTGTTGTTTTTGCTTGTGTAAACCTGTCCATGCATGGGTAGTGAATGCACAAAACAATCAAGGTACAGTGCCAAAAAGTTTGCAACTGCTGAGTTCATGATTGCAAAACGATTTCAGTACAGTACCACGTAGGCTTGCAGTTGCTGCATTTCGTTCTGCAAAACACACTCATGGTACAGTACCAGCTGGTTGGCAGTTGTGTTTTTGCTTGTGTAAAGCTGTGCTCACAACTAACATAGTCACTTTGAAAATCAATCAAGACAAAGAACAGAAACATATAGTTGGGTTCGTTAATTCCTTCAAAACAAAGGTAAATTGCAAAACAAATGCAGCTGTCTCAAAACAATCTCAGTACATCACCACATAGGCTTGCAGTTGTTGCAATTCGTTCTGCAAAACACACTCATGGTACAGTACCAGCTGGTTGGCAGTTGTTGTTTTTGCTTGTGTTAAATTGTGCATTTATAGGCAGCGAATGCACTTAGAATATGGTCAAGGTCAAGGAAGGCACATAACCGAACAGTTTGCAGTTGAGTTCCTTACTGCGAAGCAAGCAAGGTACAGTGTCAAACAGTTTGCAGCTGTTGAGTTCATAATTGCAACACAATTTCATCCGAGCACCATATGCTTTACAGTTCTTGCATCTGGTACTGCAAAACACGCATGGTACAGTACCAACTGGTTGGCAGTTGTTGTTTTTGCTTGTGTAAACCTGTCCATGTATGGGTAGTGAATGCACAACACAATCAAGGTACAGTGCCAAAATGTTTGCAACTGCTGAGTTCATGATTGCAAAACAATTTCAGTACAGTACCACGTAGGCTTGCAGTTGCTGCATTTCGTTCTGCAAAACACACTCATGGTACAGTATCAGCTGGTTGGCAGTTGCGTTTTTGCTTGTGTAAAGCTGTGCATTTATGGGCAGTGAATGCACTTAGAATATTGTCAGAGTTGCCAGAGTCGCTTGGTCCATCAAGGAAGGTGCATAACCAAACAGTTTACAGTCGAATTTGTTACTGCAAAGCAAGCAAGGTACAGTTCCCAACAAATTGCAACTGCTGAGTTAATAATTGCAAAACTACCTCAGTACAACACCACATGGTTTACATTTTTGGCATTTGGCACTGCAAAACACGTATGGTCGCCGCATGGTACATTACCAACCCGTTTGCAGTTGCCGTTTGCCTGTATAACTGTGCATTTAATTTATGGGCAGCAAATGCACTTAGAATATGATCACAACTAACAGTCACTTTGAAAATCAAACAAAGAACAGAAACATACAGGGTTCGTTAATTCCTTCAAAACAAAGGTAAATTGCAAAACAAATGCAGCTGTCTCAAAACAATCTCAGTACATCACCACGGGCTTGTTTGCAATTCGTTCTCTGCAAAACACTCATGGTACAGTACCAGCTGGTTGGCAGTTGTTGTTTTTGCTTGTGTTAAATTGTGCATTTATAGGCAGCGAATGCACTTAGAATATGGTCAAGGTCAAGGAAGGCACATAACCGAACAGTTTGCAGTTGAGTTCCTTACTGCGAAGCAAGCAAGGTACAGTGTCAAACAGTTTGCAGCTGTTGAGTTCATAATTGCAACACAATTTCATCCGAGCACCATATGCTTTACAGTTCTTGCACCTGGTACTGCAAAACACGCATGGTACAGTACCAGCTGGTTGGCAGTTGTTGTTTTTGCTTGTGTAAACCTGTCCATGTATGGGTAGTGAATGCACAAAACAATCAAGGTACAGTGCCAAAAAGTTTGCAACTGCTGAGTTCATGATTGCAAAACGATTTCAGTACAGTACCACGTAGGCTTGCAGTTGCTGCATTTCGTTCTGCAAAACACACTCATGGTACAGTATCAGCTGGTTGGCAGTTGTGTTTTTGCTTGTGTAAAGCTGTGCATTTATGGGCAGTGAATGCACTTAGAATATTGTCAGAGTTGCCAGAGTCGCTTGGTCCATCAAGGAAGGTGCATAACCAAACAGTTTACAGTCGAATTTGTTACTGCAAAGCAAGCAAGGTACAGTTCCCAACAAATTGCAACTGCTGAGTTAATAATTGCAAAACTACCTCAGTACAACACCGCATGGTTTACATTTTTGGCATTTGGCACTGCAAAACACGTATGGTCGCCGCATGGTACATTACCAACCCGTTTGCAGTTGCCGTTTGCCTGTATAACTGTGCATTTCATTTATGGGCAGCAAATGCACTTAGAATATGATCACAACTAACAGAGTCACTTTGAAAATCAATCAAGACAAAGAACAGAAACATACAGTTGGGTTCGTTAATTCCTTCAAAACAGAGGTAAATTGCAAA